ATCTGATTCAGTTGCAGGCCGCTTCTTTTATTTACAAGAGTACGGAGGGTTTTTTTTAAATTTTTTCTCTTGACCGCTGTACCAAACACTAAAGACCACTGTTCCTTGTCAGGAAATCTCTTCACAATTTTCGAGTGTTCGCTGAGCTAGTTCTGCGAACCAGATCTTGAGTTATGTATAAAATTAAGGAAGACATGAGTTGTCAGTCTAATTATACGAAATGTTGTAACCCGAATTTTGCCCAAATATACCTGTTTATAGAAAGTAATTAACAAATCAGAGGTCTGGATCTCTTTTGACATGTTCCCATTGTGTTCAACATTTCCTCGTGTCGTAATAACTTAAAATTTCACGTGGCATTTATCAAATATTCTACGCTGGCTTCAATGCGCTATTTTATGGTTAAATTTACAGCAAACACAAATTTTTCATCTGTCGCTGAGCGCCAGAAACACATGAATAAGAATGTTGGACTATAATTCTGTACGCGTGTCTCGCACACCCCATGCATGCTACATGTCTTGTCTGACTCATCCTCCTTGAGTCGCTAACGTAACAGTATAAGCAAAACTGTACCAGCAGCAGTAGACGCGTGGGTATGGATTTACTCTCTCTCTCTCTCTCTCTCTCTGCCTCCATTATCGGAGTAGATGTTCCAGAAACAACACGTATATGTTGCCTGATCTACCCTGATGATGGAGGCAGAGACAGTCTCCGAAACGTTGCCTTGAAACTCGATACTTACACTCTCACAAAAAAATAAATAAGCTGAAACTGTAGTGTTGCAGATAATAATTAACAGGCCTGTTATTAGTGGGCGGACGGAATAATAAAATATTCCGAAATTAACGATGGACAACATTCAAAGAATTTAATCTTCTCTTCATTTGAAGAAGTCTGTCTTCTGGGCTGCAGGCTGGCAGAAATTTACCGACGTTTCAGAGGAACTTGCTGTTTCCATCATCAGGGCGATTGACGATGGAATCATCAAGTATCTCTGAAACGTCGGTAAAGTTCTGCCTTTTACTTAAATCCTGCCATTTTTCGATTTT